TTTTTATATTTTTTTTACCTATAATTACTAAATTTTTTTAATAAATAATAAATATAATACAATTAATAAATAAAAATTGAATGATTTTCAAAATATGAAAAAACTAAATTTTTATTTAAAAATATTTTACTAAATATTAAATAAAACACATAATGATCCGGGAATCAACTCGTACATACTTCCTGATGACCCGGGAATCAATTTGTACGTACCTCTTAATGACCCAGGAATCAACTAAACGGTATTGGGGCAGGTAAACAGGTACCCGGGAATCAACTCGTATGCGGCCTATTTCGTGAGATATCGTAATGAAAGTTCAATGCTCACGGGTCACTCTATATATTATATGTACCTATAGATAAGAACTATCAAATAAAATTATAAAAAAAAATAATATCCAAATCTTTAAATGCACTGGAACTTAAATAATTTAAGGGAAATTTGAAAACTAAAAATATTACATATTTTTAAATGTAAAGAAAATCAAAATTAAGCAATGGCGGTCCTTGGCCAATTCCATGGGGAGGGGGGGGGGCGAAATACTTTTCACATTAAATACAATAAGTACTCAAAAAAAGGTGCATGGTAACTTTTTATAAGTAAATAATGTATACAACTGTATACTAGACCTACAATATATATTCTATGTACTAGACTTGGGGGTGGTGGTATATATTTGAATATGAAATTGCGTAATTTAAGTTCAGTTTGCCACTGTATATATAATAATAAATATTAGGTTACCTACATATATAGCACAATTTTCATTTTGAAAGAAATAGTTGAGTTATAAATAAAGTATTGATTTTAAGTAATAAAATATTAAAACTGTTGGAATTACTTGAAGTCCAGTGTATTTGAGAGTTCAATAAGTTCAAGAACCCATCTCTAGATAATATACAAAGATTGGTTTCATAAATTATTTATGGAATTAATAATATAAACATAGTATCGTTACACTTAATCTGTAATATAATTTACAATAAAATTGAACATTTTTATGATAGGATTATTTAAGTGAATAAAAAAATTAAACAAAATTGGACATAGGATCATCTTCTCTGCGTTTTTTCATGTGGTATGCTTCAATTTCTTCATCAGTAGGCTTAGAAACTTCATACATACTATTATAAGGACGTTTTCTCTCATCCATATTCATAACTCGATCGACTTCTTTTAATCGTTCTTCTTCTTTATCTAATGCCTTTTTCAATGCATCTTTTACTTCCTCTTTTTTAGCCTTCTTTTTCATCATTTTCTTCTTCTTCTTTTTTTTCTTTTTTTTTGACTTTTCTTTCAATGTTTCAGAATCTGATGAATTAGATGCTGATGATGATGCCGATGATGATCTACGAGAAGGAATTGATTCAGCTTTAATAACTTTGTCCTTAAATATACCAATAGACTCTGGTACAGTATTTTCAATAACTGGGACAATTTTTCCTAATTCTGGTACATTTATAGACGATGCAACTCCTGATTTTCCCGTACAATAAGAATTTTGAATCAACGAACGACAGCATTTATAGCCCCATTCTCCTGCCTCCCAGTAAGAACCCCAAACGGATGTATGATTTGAATGGTAAACATCTTCTTCATAACGTGAACGTACAATACCTTTTTCCTCACCCTAACAACAACAAAAAATTAAAAAATTAAAAAATACATTAATATTGAAAGGTTAAAAGTTATTCAAATCATACTTTAATTATATCTCCTCTTCTAGAATATTCAACATACTCTTCAGTTTGTGCTAATAATAATTGTACAGGAGGTGTTTGCAAGTGTTCTTCACCACCATATTTTGCCAATACTGTATTCTGAGTTTTCTTTTTAAAACGATCTTTATGAGTTTCATACTCTTTTTTAAGTTGCTCTAATTTTGTAGGTTCAGCTAATAGATGTACATCAACACCACGTTCATATGCTTCCCAAGCAAATAACTGTGCCTGAGCATGTTTAGTAGTATCACCACTGAATCTAACAAAATTCTCCCCAGCATATTCCACTCTAAAATTGATTAATAAATTAATACCTTGTAATTATTTGATTAATTTATTACTTACTGTTCTGGATCTTCTCCAGGTTTGTGTGGATTGTCCCTCATTGATCTTGTTTTAGGATCATAGTAGGCTGATGATAAATCTAAATTTCTAAGATATTTTGCTGTATCTTCACGGATTCTTAAATTTCTAACAGTAATACGCTGTTTGCTGTCTACTTTTGTTCCAGGCATGTCAAAATCATCTACATATTTATCTTCATCATTTTCATCAGCAGAACTGTTACCCTATAGATTAAATATATTATAGTAAAGATAGCTATAATTTAAATGGCCTAGAAAAATTGAATTTACTTCTCCTTTTTCATCTCCATCAGCATTTAGTTTTTGAGCACGGAGATCACGTTTGGCCTCTTCAATTTTTTGATACTGTTCAATAATAGCTTTATGCTGAGAAGGATCATATCCAGCCCATCGATCTCGTTTCCCATCAAAATCTTGATTGAGTTCGGGTTGTACATATTCATCTGGTGCAATATTAATTGAATTATGAATAGCTCCAACTTTTCGTGGTCTTTCAAAACAGTCTTTTTTTTTATGTGTCATTGCACCACAGTTTTCGCACGCTCCTTTACGGAATTTAGTGCTAACAGATTCCTTAAAAATGTATCAAAGTAAATATTTTATTAAATGAATATGCAATAAACAGTGATGTTTTTATTCTGAGATAAGCAAGATGTTATTGAGTTAAGGACTACATTATTTTAGTATAAACTTAACTTMAATACAAAAATATAGAATTTTTTTTTAGAAGAACATAGGTATTATACTACATTTTTATCTAATTCATTCATTTTTTTCTTAAAATAAAAAGAAAAGAAATATAAATTTAATTGTATGATACAAATACATAATGGATGTATAAGATTTCTGAATAATAACAAAAGAAAGTACTATGTACACATGTTACACACTATATAGTATGCAGTGGCGTACCCAGGATTTTCGAATGGGGGGGGGGGCTAAATCTATATCGGTATTCGGTACCATAATAAACATAACGTTTATGCTTTGCTTAGACTAGGTCATTGTTACTAAAGATAATACGTTGTATTCAATACCGTTTTTTAGAAATATCATGGTTTGTACTTTGTCTTTTATAATATAAAATGTATTCCAAAACATGGCCAATGGGAGGAGCTGAAGCCCTCTAAGCCCCCCCTGGGTACGCCACTGATAGTATGGTAATACATAGAAATATCAAAATATTGACATAATGAATACAATTTTTTATTTGGTATGATGTGATAAATTCAATAAGACAATAAATAAATACAAATAGTTTGAATGAAGTATAATACTTATGTATTGTTTAGATGAAATTATAATTTTGTATTTGAATTGTATTAACCAATGAATTAACTATCAATGAATAATGTGTTATTAATATTGTTCCGAATTTGTTCGACTACATAATATATATAGAACGTTAAATCTTACACTTTGGTAAATGATTTAAATAAACATAAAAATATGTAGTAGCATTAAAATGCTTTTAGTAGAACTCTGTAATTACACCATGCACATTGTAGTATAATACAATATACATTGTTTAAATGGACTTCTTCACACTTCAAAATGTTGCTCCAGACACATTGCTTGCTACTTAGTATTAATATAATAGATAACTATTCAAACATTAAACATTTTGAAAAATACTTACAGTGTTTACACCTCGTTTATACCATTCGTTTAAACTCGAATATTCTTGGGCTTTTCCGGGAACACGTTGATGTTTTAGCGTTGGACCAGAAGTGCCATAATACCATGGCGCTGATGATATGTATTGTGGAATGTGAGGATTAATATCCTTACCCTCTTCGTCAACTGCTGCTGGAGCTGTTCCTGCCTAAGTATAATATAATTAGTTAACATTTGTAATACAAATTAGAAACAACAAATATTATTTTTACTAACTTTTCGGGCTTCTTCAAGTTCTTTAGCTTTTCTCCAATCTTCACGCGATTTCTTTTTTGGTTCCTCTTCTTCAACCTCAATCTTGGTTTTTAAAACTTCAGATATTGTTGCCATTGTAATTGTATTAGAAGTGAACAAATCTACCTTTGAGACTTGTCAATACTCAGTTGTTTATATCTTATTAAGATTTAATTGGAAACTCGAAAATCAAAACACTCGAATACCTAAACATGGTTATCAATTATTTTGATAGGTTATCAAGGAAAAATGGAAACAATTTAATTCAATCATGAAACCATGATCATGCGGCGTTGTGTATAGGCTACTAAAGGTACATGTCATGATTTTTGTATTGGTGTATCATCCAATATAATGTTGTGAGTTTGTGACGTTATTGCTCTCTAATGTTTGTGGTTTCCCTTTTGATTTTATTTCACAAGTACAGCAATTTTACCCTTATTTTCATAATTTTTTATATAGATATCTGAATCATATTAGTAATGAGTATATTTTTGTATAAATACGGTTTTGGTGAAGCGGCTGTTTTTAACACCCTCCCCCCCCGATAAACTACTGGAGACAATTACATTCGTATTTTATRGTTACTATAATAGGCAATAAAAAGTAACAATATATGAGGTAGGACTTTTGGGCCTCCGAGATGAGTTATAGAATGTTATTTAGCCATAGTAAGTTTGCTCCTCCGGTATTTTAAATCAGTCAAATTTAAATCACTACTTTTTAATTTTTAATTTGTATCAAAAAATAAGTTTAAATGTTAGTATTATGATTATTTATTTTTAATTTAAAATGTCAATACCTGTCATATCTAAATTATATAACATATATATATATACCTATTGTTCTGTGCTGGTGTGCTATTACTTAACATATTTGTATTATATTTAAAAAAATATATTGTAATGAATATTTTAAATTTCATAATTTTACTAAAGTTTTACATTAAAAAAAATTAAGCGACTAAACGTCACTACCTTAGATTATAATTATTGACGGAGACCAAAGTTCATGCACTCGTTTTATTGAGAAGAACGAAACGTCCGGGATTTAATATTAATATACCTTGAGTCAAAAATTATAATCATTTATAAGACGGCTTTTAAAAACAGTTCTCTCATTAAACACCGAGGACTAAGGTATAGACTATAGATACTAGTTTGCCATAGTCCATACTAAACACTATTCTTACTCATTACCTATTAATATGGGATATGGCAATATTTTATAGTGAAAATAATAAATAATGGATTTTAAAAACAGTTCTCTCATTAAACACCGAGGACTAAGGTATAGACTATAGATACTAGTTTGCCATAGTCCATACTAAACACTATTCTTACTCATTACCTATTAATATGGGATATGGCAATATTTTATAGTGAAAATAATAAATAATGGATTCTAAATATTGTACTATTACATAAGGTTGTCAGACAATATTAATATATTATTACATATTATACAACTATACAAAGTAATAAAGTAGAAATATTACCAAAAATATATTATGTAAAAAAATATATATTTCATATATTCTGTGATATTACTCAGTATTATTGTAGCTCGCAATGTAATAATACTTACTGAGAGTCTGAGATAGTGAAACAACCGTAACTGGCTGTATCAYGTTTATATACGAACGTCAAAGTGTGGTCAAGAGACTTCAAAACCACGGCTATAGCTGATATCTAATCTGTGTTCAAAACAGAATAGATGAGAGATGACGTAAAAAATGAATTTTTTGTGATAAAATTGCAGATCCGAGATTTAATTATCAAGTATCAATGCTATCAAATACCCGACTGGCCGAGTGCCGACTGGCGACTGTTTCGTGCCTTCGTGGTATCTGGATAGTCATGTTGGTGGGCAGGTCCTTGGATATAAAAAAAACATAAATATTTTTTAATAAATGCCATTTAATTTTTTATCAGTAGTGAATATAGATAATGTAGTAGTGAATATAAAATATAGATAGTGTAGTAGTAATTAAATTATCTGTATGAAAATAATGCATTAAATATTAAATATATTTCTCGATAAATTTATACCTTGGTATCTAGTGTGCATTTTTGTATTTAAAATTTTAATTTAGTTAACCAATTTTATTGTGCAATGGAATTTGCTTCAGTCGTTTGCTTGTTGTTGAAAAAATCTTGATGAGACAGATCACTGAACACCGAATAAAGTCTTCGAGGAACACAGTTGTTGAATGATCAACTACAATTTACTGTGTTACATAAAATCTTTTCATACATAATTCCCCTACTTGTTGCTAATTGGTATTTGTTTTTACTATTTTGTACCTACTTTTGTATAATTGGCGTTTCTTTAACTGCAGTGTTTAAATGGCTCACGTTAATACAAGTGAGGCTGGCAAGTGTGAAAGATTACAAAAAAATCTTTTGAACTCTGTGAAACAATGTCAAAAACGATTTGGTAGTTCTTCTGAAATAGCAACTGAATCTGATCAGGAAGTCTCTAACTTATGTCAGTGCATTGAAGCCATATTGAGTCATGGGTTGAAATCAATTAATTCAGAGGACAAGTAAGAATTATGAAAATATAATTTTCACTAAGGTTGTATACACCTTTAATGTATCRTGGTTTTAGAAGTTCATTGTTGAAACGGCAAGTGACAAAAATCGTTACTGGTCTTTCAGATGGAGACAAAAGTCAAAATCGCCTTATTCCATTTTGGTGTTTTATTAAAGAAATATTAAATGAACCAGAAATACAACGTTTTWWTTTGTTATCAAATATCAAGAACGATTATGGTCGAGGTAAAGCTTGGTTAAGAGCATCCATTAATGAACGGTGTTTGGAAAAGTACATGCATTTGTGTATTAATAATGAAAATCTCATCAATCGATTTTACGAAAAATGGGCTTTTATGAGTAACACTGAAAAAAATTCAATATTGCCCATCACTGCTGCTGGTTGGTATAATGTCATGTATATTTTATACCAAACTCTATAAAACTTACATGTAACAGTTTGATAATTATCATTTTTTATTTTCAGGTTTATCATCAATTGTATTTGCCTTGGCAATAGATAAACTTGAATTCAATAAAGATGTCTTAGATTTCACCTTTAATGAACCAATCATTTATGGAGGTAATATTTCTATTTTTAAGTGATAATTAATTTTAATTTTCAACTTGTACTKATTATCATTCACTTTATTTTTTTAATCCAAAAAATTTGACATTTAATAGATATGTACTGGTGTATCAAGGTCTGAGTTCAATATGGGTTTATATATTGCTGGTACATCACTCATATTTACTTGAATGCTTAATTTTGAAACATAGTTATGTATATATATATATTGATATGCTCCTTTCCCCTCCTTCCCCTTGAAAATATTGAATAGGTATAAATTGAGAAAAAAATTCTTTAAAATTAAAACATTGTTTTCTTTACTCTTTAGAGACGGTATATTATTTATGTCTGGAACATAAAATTGTTATATACACAAAGCTAATAATGATACTTTATTGATTTGTTTTATTTATGTAAMATTTTAAATTATAGATAGCAATTTAATATTAAAAAAGGAAAATAATGGAAAATTAAAAAAAATTAAAGCAAATGTAATAAATTTTGATCAAAGTGAAGATGATATTCAAACTGCTGAAGAAGTAAAATCAGATAATGATGTATTGTTAGCTGTTGGTGATGAAGCTGCAGCTGTATCAGTAACTTCGTATGATACGATTGTAAGGTTTATATTACATATATTAAAACTGTTTTGAAGCATTTTGTGGCTTTTTTTTAGACTGGTTATTTTATCGGAGAGTTCGAAGATCTGCCATCAACTGAAAATGAGCTGGAAAATAGGTAATATTGTAGTAAGAATAATTATTTTATACTATCAATTATCATTAACTATTAAACCGGATTCACAGTTATGTTGTATATTGTGTGCCTTTTATCTTATTATGATTAAATCCAGATATTTATTATTCACAATTTACTGGGAAATTTCTAGAGTTGGGCCATGTTAAATTTTTAGGCATGCCATGAAAGACAATGTAGCTTTGAACCTAGCTTTACTGATACAATATGCGTGTTTAATAAATATATGTTATCTTATATAATAAAATGTGTAATATTTATTACTTAAGGTTGAGAAAATTAAGTACTATTAATGAAAATACTGACTCTTATGAAGTTTTTGTKCCTGTATCTTCTTTAAGTCCTCCTTGTGACACAGGTACTACATTTTTGTATTCATATATTTATCCTTTARTGAAAAACATTTTTTAAATGATAATGTATTTTTTAATTTRTTTAAAACTTCACTATTATGGTGTATATTTTCTATTACTTATAAATATTATGCAATAATAATAATACAATATTTGTTTTATGTAGATGATGATAGTAAGTCAATGGGATCCAATGAAGATAGTAATAGTTTACATAGATTTGACGAAACRAGAGATCAATTGTTAATTTTAGAGAAACAATATCAGGAAAATATTAATGGACTTAGAACTAAAATCACTGATTTAACTCGGTAAGTAAAAAATCTTATGTCATATAACATAAATTGTCTACTAATACATGGATTTTATTTTTTTTTTTTCACAGAGAAAATGACTTATTGAAACATCAATTGAGGAAATATGTCAGTGCTGTACAGTTAATGAAACAAGATGAAAATGAAAGTGAGGAAGCTAAATTATATCAACAAAAACTAATTCAAGTTAGTACTTTTCATCCTACCAGTTAAGTAAATATTTAAACCTTGGAAATGATTGAATAATTAGGTTGCTGAAATGCACAGTGAACTGATTGAATTAAATGGTCGTTTAAACAATCAAATTATAGCAAAAGATCAGTGCATTACTAAACTAAGAACAGAATTGGTATCATTGAGAGGCCCATTACCTTCAGATGAAATACCACACACAAACATACACTTATGGGTACCGTCTGCATTTTTAGTAGGGCGAATTAATGACCCACATCATGTATACCAGGTGTGTGAGCGCATGCAATGAGTTTTAATTTATTTAAATTTTAGTACTAATTAGTTTATTTTAATAGATCCATATACGAATTCTAAATGAAGAATGGAATGTTTACCGGAGATATTCACAGTTTACAGAATTTCACAAACAATTAAAAAAACAGTATAATGTAGTGTCAACAATTTCATTGCCACCTAAAAAAACTATCGGAAATAAGGTAGAATAATAATTAATTTATGAAGATGTAGCGTATTATTTTATAAAAATATTTTTAACAAATAGTTCTAATTCTAATAATATATTTAGCATTTGATAAAAATAGGCACATATACAAGTTTAGAGGTTGAATACCTTTCCTACCTAAATATTTTCAAATTATTTTTATCAACATGGCATTTTGATTAWTTTTTTTTATTTTTATAATGACTAATGTCCCATCCCTTCTTGGCCAGTAAAATTCTGTATGTATGCCTGAATAATGATAATCTTAGTGACAAATATATATACATGAATTATTTGTAAAAGTACCTATTTAAATATTTAAAAAATACATGATTTATATAGTTTGAAAATTTACTAATATTATATACATTTTTATTTATATCAAAACATTTGATTAAACCTAAATACTCAAGTAACATAAAAATCAAGATAATTTATATTTTCTAGGGTGCCAACTTTGTTGAAGAACGACGTAAAAAGTTGCAAATTTACTTAAGACAGATAATGAATTTTTTGATAACGATTAACAGGATATTGGCCAATTCTCCCAACAAGTATAACTTGGTTAATCTAGTACCATTTTTCAGGTATTTTTGATCTTGCTTTTACTTAGAAAAATAACACCCATGTTAATGTTATTAAATCTTTTTTAGTGAGCAATATAACCAAAGTTATAGTGGAAAACTGACGTGGTTAAATGTAAGTTGTCTGATGGCTCAAAATTCCGTAGTAGATTTAAATAGTTCTAGTTCTCATCATCAGTATACTGGCTTATGACATAAATCTCTTAAATTATTTATATTTATATAATATTACCTATTATAGCAATAATTTTATAATATATTTATTAAAATGTTAAACGTCTGTKATTTATAATAAAATGTTTTATCTAATAAATCTTATATAATACATAATTAATAAAATATAAGTTTTATTTTCTTGATTTAATTTAGTTATTTATTATAAATTGATACCTTACTTTTTGGGGCTACTGAACAATTTTTGTAGAACAACAAGTTTTTACTACAACAAATTATTGTATGCAAAATTAATACAAAAGTATCTGGTACACAGAATAATATTTTTCTATGCTGGAAAAAACTATGTATAGGTTTATGAAAAATTTTTCAAAAATAAACTATAAATTAATTTTTTATTACGTAAGTAACTATTAAAATGTAGTTTAAATAACCGAGTCTCATATTGTTCAGTTTATTTTTCTGAACCATTTATTTATAAAAACAATTATGACAAAACTCAAACGAAAATAATACTCCAATGCAATTCCATATTACTCTCTAACAGCCCCGTAAAATATGGGATTTYCACTTTAAGTTATCTGTTGTAGAAATATCGCAAAGTTATAAACTTTTCAGATTATTATGAAATTCTTTACAAAKTACTAAATATTCGTTATTTGATTAAATTAATTAAAATCAATTTAAACAAAAATTAAATAC